TTCTATTATTCCATCAGTGGTCTTTGGGTTATATAGATAGATAGATTTAGAATGCAAAAGAGTTGCAACTTTATATGCAACTTTCTTTCACCAAGAATGCAATTAATTGAAAGCTGAAAACTGTTACAACTCAAAATGTAACCCTCTTGAATTCAATAACAGAGTGTATTAGCATATTGCAAAACTGTTATATGTACGTCCCAGAGCCATAATAAGCCATTTAGAGATATAACCTTTATACATAAGATAGAACTCGATACAAGCATTCCCATAAGTACAATAACTAAAACATCGAAAATTTTGAGTTGTAACCCTCTTGCTCTGAGCAGTCGATTTACAACTACAAAATGTATTTTTTCAGTGTTTTTCTTACTATAGTTATTTTTTGTTTTAATGTACTACTTAGCTTTAATTTGACTGTTTTTTTCGTGTTGAAACAAATTATTTAGTTTTACATGTAATGGATGTAGTATGTATGGGTGTAGTACATGTAATGGATGTAGTATGGGAAAAAATGATTCACCTTACGACATTTTCATGATACGATCTCAGTTTTGGAACAGATTAATTTTGTATCCTGAGGTACCACTGTAATACTTATATAATACTAGATCAGTGGTTCCCAATTAGTGGTACGCGTACCCCCAGGGGTACGCGAAATTGCGTGAAGGGGTATGCGCCGCAATCTAAAATCGGTCGATTTAATATTTAAATGCATGAGATGAAGCAATCAAAAAAATAATACAGATCTGGAAAAAAATTTTTCCAGCTGCATGGAATATTTTTGCTGAATTATATGTTTTGAAGATCACAGATTCTAAAAATAACTTCCATTACATCCCATCATGTAGAGGCTTTTTGCAAAATAAAAACAAACTTTTGATAAAAACTCTAATATATTTAGTTCATTGTAATAAATATTTTCTTACAACTAATCAACAAATTGTTTCTGATATTTATACACAATTTTAGGTCTACTCTTTTTTCTTATGAAACCTTTTCTTTTTCTTTTTGATGCACCTCCAAACTCGTTTGCAATTTCCTTCTCTGGTTTCTCGATTGAGCATCCAACAGTAGTCAGCTAACATATTGACATCGCATTTTCCTTGGTAACGTCTCTCGATATCACGGACATCCTGTTGAAATCTTTCACAATGTTCTTCATTGTAGGCACCAAAGTTTTCGGGAAAACAGTCAATATGGGAGTGTAAGAAATGAACTTTTAAGTCCATCTTGCATCTTTGAGCTTCATACGCTGCTGCCAGCATGCGTTGTACAATGGTTTTGTAGTCAGGGTCCTTAGTATTGCCCAAAAACTTATGCACTACGTTCTTGAAAGAGTCCCATGCTTCTTTGTCCTTTTCTGCTATTGTTTCCAGAAATTTGCTTTGTCTCGATCTCCAAGTTTCAATTTGAAATATGCAAATTAAACTTTCTTCACAAACTCATTTATGTTTCTTTGTTGACTTTTCACTACGTATTCACCACAAACATAACAGACGCTGTCTGGAGAAATTACACAACCTCTGCGAGCCATATTCCAGAAATAAAAATACAAGTACAGTAGCGTTCAAATGATGGATATAAACTGAGTGTGGCATTAGATGGCCAGCGAGATACTGAATTTATTTAGCTTGTTGAAACACGATCTAATCCAACAGCGGGTTGTTTATATTTATTCCTAGTATTTCAGATAACATGTCAAAACATGCTCAACCTCACCAATAATATTACTCACTATCAACTTTTAACCTGTTTCTATACGATCATTCGACCTTCCTTCTAACGCTAAAAGTACTTAACCCACCTCCCCCTACCACTACTCTCTTCAACCATTAACATTTTTATTTATTTACTAGCTGCGAGGACCCGCTTTGCTGGGTTTTTATTTGTTCGTACATTTGTATGTAATATAGTTTTTTTATATATATAAAAGACTGTTTTTCTAAATAATCTAGAATCTAGCTGCAAGGACCCGCTTCGCTGGGCAAAAAGTAACGATAGTGAAGATTAAGATAATTACATTATGGCTAATCTTACCCGTTTTCACAGAATGCAAGAATTAGGTCCCCCGTTTCCAGACTAATTAGAGAATTTTTACGTTTAGTCAAACGAACAAATTTCAACGTTTCTGGAACGTTTTCAATCGTTCTATAATCGAACCAATTCGAATTTTATGTTCGAATTTAATTCGAACAAATTCGAAAAAATCGAACAAAACATTCGAAATAGAAAGCCACTTTCAACCACTTTCAGCCTCATATCTCCCGCACCCTTATAGCTATCGAGACGCAACCACCCCTATGCACGAATGGAGACTTGGGGCTACCACCACATACAAACACCATTCACGTGCGATGTGTAGTTTTGGCGAAAAAGTGAGATATAGGGACATACATGTCCATTTATATATATATATAGATATATATATTACAAAGTCCAGGTGTAATTGATAGAATTAATGTGAGAAGTCTTCGTTTTAAGGCTATTTTTTAAATAAAAAAAGAATAGTAAATTTTAAGTTAACCAGGAATTTTACGCTAAATACAAACAAAAACTTGAGTGTAACAAAAAATTTGACGAGATGGAATTTTTGGTATTTTTTTCGTTTTTACCAAGTTGAAAATGTATAAAAATCCTATGCAGTATTTTACTTGCAGACCTGTGTAATGGGTGGACCATCAAAAATTCGAAAATTTGAAAATTTACAATACGATGTCGAATGTGCAAATTCATTTATTTATAAGTAAAAATATTCTCGAAATTTTATAAAAAAAAATACATTTGTGACGATACCTAAATGAAATTCTTACGCAAGAAACAAAAATTGTACAATTAACACAATTTGTGTTAATTGTACAATTATCATTATTATCGTGCCAGCGAAGCGGCAATAAAATATTTACTACCATTTTGCACAACATACTTCTGCGAGAGCGGATTTTCGGCCGTGACAAACATGAATCGTCACCGACTTCGACTCGAAGATGACTCGAGATTGAAGCTGATCAAAAAGCAACCAGATTTTACAAAGTTGCGCAAAGAAAATCATGCACATTTGTCACATTAAAATTAAATAACCTTATGTTATTTTCATTATTATTAGAATTGTATTTTAAAGGTACTGTAATAAATGTAAAAAAAAACTTATTTTATGTATCACTAGCTCTCTACTCACGGCTTCGCCCACATTATATCGAATTTTCTCGTGGGAGTAAGATATTTTCTCGCAGTAAAATGTAGCCTATGTCCATCTCCAACGTTTAAGCTATTTCCGTTCCATATTTTATCAAAACCTGTTCGGCGGTTTAGACGTGAAAAGGTGATAGACAGACAGAATTACCTTCGAGTTTATAATATTAGTATGGATTAATATGAATTTCTGATATAAGGGGTACGCGAGTTTGAGCTCTTTCTTTAAGTGGTACACAGGAAAAAGTAATTGGGAACCACTGTACTAGATTGTAGAAAATCTGAAATTTGAGTCTTTTAAAAGGTGTATTATAGAGATTTTTTTTGAGTTACACCAATAATACGTTTGTATTGAAAAATCAATATATTTATTTATAAACAATGAGAAGTTATTTAATCTTAGTTGTATTATTAATTAATTGTTTAATATTTATTTCTATATTTGTTGACATTATATTGGATTCTGTAGGGATAGATATTTACATACCACGGATGTGATATACTGATTGAGCCAATAATTTTTTATCATTAATTATTGATCAAGAAAAAGCTGACTCCATCAATAATGTGAATCTGAACTTCCAATTTTCTGAAATGCCAAACAATCTACTTGAAGTGTCAAAGGATTTCAAAATATTAAATTTGAGCTGCCAAAGATTTATTACATCTGTCCATTTTAACATAAATTGATGTAAAAATTTAATATTTTTATCACTAGAATGTTTTAGCTTATAGTGAAATTTAATTAATCATCTTAAATAGAAAGGATATATTTGATATCTGTCTGTTTGGAGAGCATATCCAGGTATTGTCTTTCAACTTTAATCAATCTATGTAAGAAAATTATATGAAATTGTTCTAAATCATACAAAAAATCCAAACCCCACATTGGGCTAGCACAGAGGTGTCCAAACTTTTTGACGCAAGGGCCAGATTGGGAATTAAATACATTTCAGCGGGCCACATGAATATGTGAATTAAAAAGTCTCATTATGACTAAGGCAGCATTAAATTTTATTTTTTACAGTTAATTATAGATACACCAATACTAAACAAGCATGGCTAAATTATACATAATTAGAAAATTATTTCATGCAACTTTTAATGGGAATGATTAAACTGTGTTTTTTGCTGAAGAATTTCTTTAAAGTTGGGATTAAAATCTGAAACACCAATTATAAGCAATGATTGCAAATGATCATCTGATAAATTTGCCCTGTACTTTAATTTCAGATACTTCATCCTGGAAAACGTTTGTTCGCACATATAGGTAGTCTCAAACATAGAAATAAATTTACAAACAAATTGCTTTAAATTTGGAAACTCTTTTGCATTCAAAAATTTGTAAAAATCCACCAAGTTTCCTTCCTTGTATTTATTCTTGATTTGATCATCAGCTTGAAGATCAATAATTTCCATTTGAAACTGACTTGAAACGTCTGCAACATTGCAGCCAAATGGATTTTGAAACAGCTGAATTTCCTTTGAATTCCTGTCAAGATCAGAAAATCGTTTTTGAAATTCTTGTTTTCAATCTGCGATGACTTTTATTGCAAATCTGGTTGGAAATTGTTCATCGGTTTCTGTATTCAATTCTTCACAGCACGGGAAATGAGTAAAATTACATTCATCTAGCTGACTTTCGAGCAATACCAGCTTTGCCCTGAATGCTTTGATTTGTGAGAATAAATTACAAATTAAGTTGTTTTTACCTTGGAGCTTTAAGTTCAAGTTATTTACGTGTGTCACAACATCTGCAAAAAAAGCCAACTTCCAGAGCCACTCAGCATTTGATAAAAGTGGTTCAGGGTGATTTTTCTCCGCAAGAAATAAATTAATTTCATTTCTAAGCTTAAAGAACTGTAATAGCACTTTTACACAGCTAAGCCATCGAACTGCAGTATAATATGACAAGTCACCAGTCTTGGATTCAATTTGTTCGAGAAAAGATCGAAATTGGCCATGATTGAGTGCATGTGATCGAATAAAATTTACGACAGAAACAACTGGTTTTAAAACGCAGCTCATATTGACATATTTCACACACAGTGCTTGTTGATGGATAATACAGTGCAGAAAAATTGGTGCTGGTGCTCCTAAACCTTCACAAGCTTTTCTAATTTGCCCAACCACACCGTTGTTTGCACCAGACATGTTTCTTTCTCCATCAATTGTTACACCTTGGAGTCGATTCCAGTCCAAGTTATACTTTGTCAACGTTTTTTGTACTACTTTGAAGATATCTTCTCTAGTTGTAGTGCTGTGCATGCTGTTAACGGAGGCTAATTCTTGTGTGACATTCAGTTCGTCGTCAACTCCACGAACAAAAACTAAAAGTTGTGAGGTGTCACTAACATCAGTTGATTCATCCATCGTGAGAGAATACCGAGTGAAACGCTGTACTTTACCAGTAATCTGGTGAAGAATATTGTTTCCAATATTGTCAATTTGACGAGCAACAGTATTACGGGACAGACTGATCATTTTGAAAAGTTGCAACTTTTCTGGGCACAACTCGCCAGCATCTTCCATCATACACTCTTTAACGATGTTTCCATCCATAAAGGGTTTTCCTTCTTTCGCCAACAAATAAGCAACTTTCAAGCTAACTAAGGTCAATGATTCATTTTCTGAGTTTGCCTTCCTAAATAAATTTTGCTGAGTACACAAACTACGATGCATTGTTTCAAAGTTTTCAGTATGCTGCTTGTCCTTAAATTGTGAGTACAGTAGAACCTTGATTATCCGCCCTCTACCTGATCAACCGACCCCTTGGTTAACCGACTGTCCTAGTCGGCAAATTTCAAATGTCCGCTAGTGATGTGGCGCTACAATATTTGGCTATGTCTCGGCTACTTTAATATTATTTTTACGTGTTTTAGCTGGCAACACTCATTCGACCATGAAAGGGAGTCAATATTTAAACGAGGCTTAATTTTCTAATTTTTAACGATACAATAGCGACGATTATTATTTTAAAAAATTTTTGTTAGGCTTAACATCGATGAAAATTCATCGCAAAATAGGTTAATAGCGATATACTAATATACTAATTACATGGGATATAATAATATACTACACTAATAATGGATTTTTTTCATACTTTTCGGTTATCCGACTTTTCAATTATCCGACCAACCCCAGTCCCCAATTAGGGCGGATAATCGAGGTTCTACTGTATGTTGAAGCATCTTTTGTTTCATAATGTCGACGTAAATTATATTCCTTTATTACAGCAACAGTGTCATTGCAAATTACACAAACAGCTTTGCCATTCTTTGACTGAGATTGCACAAAGAAATATTTTACTCCCCATTCTTCAAAAAAATGCAGCACTCATCATCAACTTTTCTTTTTCTTCTTTCCATGTTTAAACCTTCAAAAAATAATATTAAACTTCAAAATAATAAATTTGTAATACATTAAATATCAATTTACACATACCAATTTACAAATGAGTCAAGCACAATAGAACAGAAGACGACAGAAGGCAATCCCGAGGTCAACTACAGAGATGCCACATACAATGCTCTTGATTTTTTCTTTCTCCCCCTCTACTCACTAATACAAAGACAACCCACAGAATCTCTGTATTCATGTACCTTCGCTATTCTCCTGCCTTTGTACCAATTCGGCAGTTACCGAACAATAGCCCAAAACAATATTTTTATGACTGTAAATTAAAAATTCCTTTTTTACATCAAATATAATTTTTACAGTTTTTTTTAATTTTCGATATACATTTCTGAAAGTGAAACGGGTTCGCGTGAAAAAATCAGTATTTTTCAAAATTCTTTGCGGGCCAGATAAAATCACCTGCCGGGCTGGGTCTGGCCCGCGGGCCGTAGTTTGGACACCTCTGGGCTAGCATAATATAATGTCAGAACTATTAGAGTATTGTATAATTTAATATGCATTTCCAAGTTGGAAATTTTCAGCGATGAACATATGTAACATTATCTACTAACATTTTTATTTTGATATTTTTCTATATGCTGTGGAAACATTTTGTTCCAATTAAATATTACGCCCAAATAATTTATTTCATTTTTCAATGTTAAAGGTTGGCCATTTAAGTAAATTCTTTTTTTTCTGACATCTTCACATTATTTATAAATAAGATTAGTTTAGTCTTTGATGTATTAATTGTTAAATATATAATTTGACAATTATAAAAAAATTTGTTAATTAGCAAACATAACTAAAAAGTTGGAGAAGCAATAGCATATGTGCATAGTAAGTCAAATGCTGTTTCATTTTGTCAATCTGCTATAGTGTAAGACGGGTTAGCAACCTGTTTTGGCTGTGGGTCAAAATCAACCAAAATGTGTGTATTAAGACAACGTTTTGGGTCAGTAGTATTTTCATTTTAAAACAGTCTCACCAGTCCTAGGTAATGAACGTGCAGATCTACTTGCCAGGGAGGCTGCAGCGATCAGTACCTCTGGCTCTTTCAAGTATTTAGTGTTACCTGCTTCTTTTCTTAAGCTCCAGCATTGGAACTACAGCTTGGATCTCTGGCAGCAGAGATGAGATAGCTACAATGGCCTTGCCAGGAACTTTTTTCCATCTATTCATGACCACCTTTTTCACCGCCGGGTTAGTCCGGACTTTGAAACCACCCAATTCTTCACTGGGCATGGGAGATTCCGGGCCTACTTATAGAGGTTTGGCAAATCTGCAACGGACATCTGTACCATCTGTAATTGCCGGGATGGGGTTGAGCACTATATATACATGTGTCCAATGACCGAGGATGCTAGGCATGAGCTTTACCTTGCTCTTAGTTACAGGGGTATTAATTGGCCTTGTGAACTTCATGTCCTTCTTAAGGATAGTGACACCTACAAAGCATTCAAAAATTGATTCATAAGTATCACATACACTCTGTCATTCATTAAGTTGGTCAAGTCTGTCATCAGGCATTGTTTTCATTTGCTCCCTGCACATTATTGTACGTACATATCATTATTGTTCTGCTGCAACATGTATCTGTGTAATGTTTATTATTAGTATTGTCTGTTTTATACTACTGTATGTTATTCTACTCAAGTTTTGTATCATATCGGTTGATTTGTATTGGTCATCTCACCATCTGTTCATACTTCTTCTCCATTGTCATACTGTTTGTATGTTATCTCTCTGTTATTATGTATGTATTTACCTGTGCTTTGACGTATCTCTGTATTTAACCCAATTATGCTCTGGCGGTATCGGTAGTAAATAAAGATAAAGTAAAAAAGTCTCACCAGTGTTATCACATGTTTGTAAAGGAATTATGGATTGGCGTTGCCAAACTTATCAATTTCTTCTTGAAATTAGGCTGCGTACACACTAGGTGTTTTTAAATGCGAGTTTGACGAACGAAGAGTTCTGCATAGGCGTACACACTCAAACGCACGTTTTTGGCCAAGCGCGCATTAAACGTGCATTTATAGATTTTTCTTAAAACGCGCGTTTTGCGGGCGTCAGCCGAGCGCTTTGAGATATATGTGCTGCCATGTTACTGTAAGAGGGCGACGAGTCGCGAAACTGTTGAGACGTGTGTGTGTGTGCTCTGTTTTCCGATCGCCGCATCGTGGATACCGTCATTTAATCAGTGGATTATTATACATCGCTGGAATCGTCTAGACACCAGCTATCGTTTGACGTCCGAATTTTCCGGATCTGACCAGCGGAACACGAATTATGGACCTTGGAAGTTTTGGATTTTCCGGCCGCCATTTCCGGGTGGTTTCCACCGGTAAGTGGTAAAGTCGCATATCATTCTATTCGGGTTTCCAAGGGCTATCTATCGCCGTCGTCCGTTTTTCTTTCCGTAGTCTTGTTCGTGTTTTACTGAGTCCGAAAGTTGGCTCCGATCGGGCCGTTTTGCGGGCTTCTCGGGCCTCCGTCGTTCTTCATTTTCGGGCATTTCTTAGCTTATGAGTCTATCTAAGTGTGTATAATTTTATGGGACGGTATGTTTATTAGTTATAAAGTTACGCTAGTTTTAAAACTTTCGGTGAACAAAGAGGTAAAGGGTCGTTGACCTTGGCACGTGGACGGGTCAACATCATACTCGACCCTAATCCGGCGGTTTGTTTCGGCTATTTTTCGGGTCGTTTTTGTCGCTCTGTATCGTGTCATATATCGTTCGGCTGCTTTAATTTTTCTCTTTTTATCTCAGTGGGTCTTAGTATTTAATTAACTGTAATTTTCATTAAATTTTCTTCAGGTGTTTATCACTTCTGTCAGGGCCAGGCTTTGTCTCCTGGGTCTGGGCCGCTTGCCGCGGGCTCATATTTACATTATATCTCTTACTACGCTATTAAGGTTGGTTTTTCGCTAATTATAATCATGTCAACTCAAAACTTATTGTCTCACCCTGCGGATGCTTCCATCCAAAATTGTAAGGTAAACATCACTTCGCTTGAAGATACCATCCTGAAAGAAGCCAACCAACACGTCCTTAAGATACTGGACTTGCTGCCTGAGAAATATAGCAACAACATAAGGACCGAAGAGAGAAAGGAGGTCCGTGATCGTGTCACCCGGCTCTTCTCGTGTCTCGGACAGTTTCATGGAATACTAAAGGAAGTAAGGTCTAAATCTGCTCTGCACCCTGCCCCACCCACTGTTGCTCCCCTAGCACAACCTGTCTCTTACGCTGAAGCAACAAAAATTAACATTAAGCCCAGCTCCACTACAATGGCCATCAATAAATCACTAAAAAACAAAGTCGACATTGAAGGTACCGGAGGCAGCTTTGCCCTTTTACTCTACCCAAAACCTAACGAAGAAGGGCTACATACCAACATGAAACACATTGAAACGGAGATCAAGAAAAGGATTAAGCCACACGAATTAAAAATTAAGGTTAAATCAGTGCGCCAAGTTAAAGGTGACGGAATATGCTTCAGGACCGATAGCCAAAAGGAAGCTGAAATACTATCTGAGGCAATCAAAGAACATCCAGATATAGCAGGGAAAATACACAGTAAATTCTCCGAAGGTCGTAGGCCACGTATTATTCTCACTAACGTCCCAATTACTGTAGAGGAAGCAGACATCATACCCATGATTTTTAATCAAAATGACATTTTCCAAAACACGACCATAGAAGAATTTGCCAGTGCCACAAGAATCAGCACTGTGCTATTCAGGAATAATAATAAAGAAAATTGTCGCCACATAGTAATCTCAACATCACCCAAGTTCAGAAACATCCTGGTTAAAACGAAACATATTGCTCTAGAATGGGCAAAAATTTATGTCAACGATTATATCCCATTGGTACGCTGTTACCAATGTTGTGGATACAATCATCTTTCCACCAACTGCCCCAATAAACAAAGATGCAGTCACTGTGGGAAAACACATAAATTTAGTGACTGCAGAAAACTAGAAGATCCACCTCAATGCACGAACTGTAGAACTGTCAACAAGGAATTACCGGAATATGACAGATACGACACAACTCACAATGCCTTCAATCCACAGTGTCCACAGACCATCAGAATGAAAGCTCAGACCATCAGAATGAAAGCTCAAACCATCCGACAAACTAATTATGGGGTGTAGTCTGAAGCAAAAAGATTTGAGGCTTATCCAAATTAATTTACAAAAATGCAAGGCAGCAACTACCGATGCCTTTTATCAGGCCACAAACAGGAATTTAGACTTGATGTCTATCCAGGAGCCCTACGTCCTCAACAATAAAATCGCCATGTTTGGAAACTTCCGTACTATCTACTCACAAGAGCACAACAGTCCGCCTAAAACTGGCTTTGTCATTATAAACGACAGCCTCGACGTCCAGCACCTAACTCAACATAGCAACAACTACTTTACTACAATCAGTGTCAACCTTAACAGCTCTACCTACATCTTCATTTCTTTTTACTGTTCCCCAACTGATGACCTTGCTCACCCATTGGATCTTCTAGCTACTACCATCCAACAATTACATCATGCTCCAATCCTAATCACTGGGGACTTTAATGCAAAATTGCACACTTGGCACAGCCCGGTTGAGGACCTGAGGGGCTACCAGGTTGAGGAATTCACAACACAATATCAGCTGACCTCGCTGAACACTAGCACCCTGCCAACTTTCTCCTCCTCCAACGGAGACAGTTGGATCGATATTTGTCTTGGCAACAGTAAAATCACCAGAATAAATCTTACTTGTAATACCCTAGATATTCACACGGCAAGCGACCACAATTATATAGAAACGAAGATAGATCAAGTGACTCCTATCCCCAAATACTGTATATCTCAGCGTACTAACTGGGATCTTTTTTACCACCTTATTCAGCTTAATTGGAAAACAGAGGACATAATAAATATCACCGACTCTGCAGGAATCAATAACATCGTTAACAATCTACAAATGGTCATACACCAAGCTTACTATCAATCCACCACTGTTAAGACTGTTAAACGTTCTGCCCCTTGGTGGAACCATGATCTTAACAAGCAAAGGAACATTTTAAGGAAAACCAAAAAGAAATTTAGAAAAGAAACTGATCACAACAAGAAACAAGAAATTCGTACTGAATATCTGACCCTATTCAAAAACTACAAAACCTCTATCAACAAGGCAAGGACACAAGCCTGGAAAGACTTCTGTACCAAGGTTGGTAATGAGAATCCCTGGGGTACTCCTTACTACGTGGTTAACAGTAAAAGGAAAAAACTGCAGATTCCGCCTACTATTAAAATAAACAACACAGATTATACGAGCTCTGTTTCTGACACCTACCGTCATATTATCCACGAACTCTTTCCCGATGACTGCCACGACACTGACGACCAAAACCATCAGAATATCAGGGTCAGCATTGAGAAGGATTATTACACCACAAACGACACCCCTTTCACCACTACCGAGATTGCCAATGAATTCCGTAAATTAAAATTGAGGAAAGCGCCAGGCCCCGACAAAATCACAGCTAAAATGGCCACGATTGCCTTTAAGGCAATTCCCACATCCTTTTGCACTCTTTTAAATAAATGCTTAGACATCCATTATTTTCCAAATGCATGAAAAAAAGCCTCGATTAAATTAATACCAAAGAATAAGGAGAACAACCCTATTACGGCGTCAGACTTCAGGCCCATCTCACTACTCCCGATGATAGGAAAAGTCCTCGACGCTCTCCTCATCAACCGCATTGTTTACCACTACGAGTACAACAACATCATGAGCGACAGACAACACGGCTTTAGGAAGGGCAAAAGTACGGTTGGTGCTATTGACAACCTTATAACCCTAATTCACAAAGCTAAGGATGAGGGCAAGCATAGTATCATGGTGGCAATAGACTTCAAGGGGGCGTTTGACCACGCATGGTGGCCTGCAATATTACATAACTTAAGGAATGACAAGTGCCCCCAAAATTTATACTGGCTGACAGCAAGCTACCTTCAAAACAGGAGTATCCAGATTGATTCTGGCAACAACACTTACCACCACAAGAATATTAACAGGGGCTGCCCTCAGGGTTCCAGGTCAGGTCCGTACCTCTGGAATATTCTATATAACAGTCTTCTTAATATGCAATACAATCTGCCTAGTGAGCATCAGGCTCTTATCCAGGGGTACGCCGACGATACGGTCATCTTGCTTAGCCATGTCAATCATGAGGTTCTTCAAGACAGAGTCAACCAGACTCTTTCCAAAATTTCTGATTGGTGCAACAAAAATAAACTTCTGATAAACCACGACAAATGCCACGCCATCGTTTTCCCTAAAGAAAATATACTAAAAAAAGGGCCAAGTATTAAAATAAATAATAGAAAGATTAAAAATTCCTCCGCAGTTAAATACCTGGGCATAGTAATAGATCAAAAATTGAACTGGACAGACCACACACATTACATTTACGAGAAGGCTATGAAAGTCACTCAGGCTCTGAAAAGCATCAGCAGAAACCACTGGGGCTATGGCCCTTCCACCAGCAGAACACTCTACACCGCTGTGGTGGAACCCATCATTACCTACGGCTCTGAAATCTGGGGCTCTTCTGTCAACAAAGTCCATATAAAGAGAAAGCTTCTCTCAATTCAAAGGCTCCTAGCAATTAACATAGCTAAATCTTATAAGACTGCACCAACGGAGGCCCTCTTGGTCATCAACCGTACTCTGCCAATCGATCTCAAGATCAAAGAAAATTATATCAAATATAATCTCTGCAAGCTAGCCAACAACCTCATTAACATGGAACAATTCTNCCTAGCAATTAACATAGCTAAATCCTATAAGACTGCACCAACGGAGGCCCTCTTGGTCATCAACCGTACTCTGCCAATCGATCTCAAGATCAAAGAAAATTATATCAAATATAATCTCTGCAAGCTAGCCAACAACCTCATTAACATGGAACAATTCCGCACTACGGTTGCCAAAGAAGTATACAATACAGACTTTTGTACACTCGCTAATCTAGTGAATACCAACGGTATTGATAAGTGCTATACGCATCAGCCAGTTCATCCTAGCCTCACCTTCATTGACCCTTCTGGGACCTATCACAATGATAATCGGACAATTAGTATTTACACTGATGGGTCCTACTCCAAGCTCGGGGTGGGCTGCACCATGGTAGTTCACAAAGGAAATCATTGTCTCCATCAGTGGAGCAGGAACCTTGCCTTTCACTGTACCATTAATCAGGCGGAGTCCTACGCCATTTACAATGCCATTAACTGGATAGTAAATAATCAGCATAAGTGGCTCAACCATAACTTCTGCATTCTCAGTGATAGTCGGACAGCAATCCAGCAAATCATTAATGCCAATAACACACTTCTTATTGTAAAGGACAGCATAAACAATTTACAGGATCTACAAAGAATAAACATCAGGGTTGCTATACAGTGGGTCAAGGGGCACTCTGGGAACGCAGGGAACGACAGGGCAGACCTCCTCGCTCGTATCGCCCCTACCAGGGCCACCAACTTCAGCTACCATAAAATCAGCAATAGACGTCTTCGCAAACTGACGCATGACATAATTTTGAAAACCTGGAAAATAAGGTGGGACAATTGCACTACTGGTAGGCTGACCCACAGATTCTATCCTTCACCTACGGATAGTCTCAGTCACCCCCTCTTCCCCTCCTTCCAAGTCACGCAGCTACTGACGGGGCATGGGAACTTGAACTCTTACCTAAAGAGGTTCCTTCATAAATCAAACGGGCTCTGCAATTGTGATATGAATGAAGACGAAGACGCACACCATATCATTTTCTTATGTCCCTTCTACAGGACACAGAGAAAGACACTTGCTCAAGTAATCAACAACAACGGCATCCACTGGCCCTGTGAACTTAAGGCATTCACCGAGGATAAGACGAATTTCAACGCTCTCAAGCAGTTTGCTGCTAGTATTAAAAAGCTAGATTAACCGGGAACAATCTCTTGGTAGCGGACTCTGGACTATCGAGATTGTCTCTCCGTCTCTAGCTCTGGTGTTCCACATTCTCTGCCACTCAGCGTTATGTATCTGCTGTTTTCTTGTGCCTGTACTGACAGGCTGGTGTTCTACTATATAGTTCTACAATGCTGCATGCTGTTTTCCATTGTATCTCGCAGTTATCCATGACATTTGTCAAACAGCATCTTCTGTTTCCTACTGTAATTTCGCCACGCTTATTGTATTTGTTTACTCTATATCTAGGTATTTTATTGTTATCGCTATTCATGTCATAACCTACATATTGTTATTTGTATTTGTTGGTATCTCATGTAACCCTATGTATAATTCGCACTGTTATCGGCGATCTCACAAACATTTGTCGAACCGCATCTACTATTTCTACGTCCTGCCTAATTTTATTTAACTGTAGTGTCACTGTAATGTCACACTTTATGTTATAATCTTCATGTAAATCATTGTTTATTTCGGTATCCCATGTTTCAACAATATTATGTATATACTATATTTGCCTTTTGGATCATCGACGCTCCCAAGCTGTTCCCCTGTATACGCGATTATTTCAGACATTTGTCTTTCAGCATCCTCTGTTCGCTTTTGTAATTATGTCACAGCTTTTATCAACTGTATTATTATATACTTCTGTATTAATTTGTAACGTCTCTACTCATGTCATAATCATCATGTATTTGTTTGTATTATTTGTATTTGTTTTCTATGTAACCCATTGTATTTTCTTTTAATAAATGCCGATGCAAGACGCCCATGGGTCCCATGACCCTGGTTGACTCTATTTCTTCTATCCTTTCCTACTTTACTTCCCCTTCTCTCTAACCCCTTCTTGGCTACTTTACTCCTTCTTCAACTTCTACACCTATAACGGGCTATACCTCTGAGTTCGGCCTCGTTTCCCCTTTCTTAACACTGCCATGTTACTGTACATTCGATTGCGCGTTTTCGGGTAGAGTGGACGTACGTTGGCCAAAATGGAGAATGATCATTTCAATACTGATCTATTTATTGATGAAATCTAAAAGAGACCAACCATTGTCAAAGGATTTTATAGATATTTTAAAAGAATTTAAAAACTTGGGCTCATTTTGTCTTAGTTTTGGATACAATGTCGCAAACATTCCATGTGTCAGTCTATCTCGTGATATTGGGTGCACCCAAAATTGTCTTTGCCTCTGCCATCGTCTTTTATGGCGACAATGGAGGAGGGGCACACAAGCAATTACTTTTACGTCCATTTCCAAACTGAGCCAGTGCATATGCTCCACTAAACGCTCGTCTAACGCCGAGCTAACACCTGGTGTGTACGCTGCTAACGCACGTTTAACGCAACACAAAACGCCTAGTGTATTTGTATTTTAAAAATAAAAATGCATGTTCATTACTGTAACTTTGTAATCATACAAAAATGTTAGTTATTATTTATATTCAGTTAATTTTTTTTATGTATTCAAGTGTTTGTTTCATATTTGTTTTATAATTTATTTTTATATACTATATATTATTTTTGGAACTCAAATGGGTCATTTGAAATTATGAAATGGGTGACAGATTGTTAAGGTCTGTTGTAAGGGATGAGGATCAGGGAATTTGTACAGTATAGTGTCGTTTATTCGAAAGCCGGTTATCCAAAATGTCAGGTAATCAAAAGCATTACAGTCGGCAAATTTAAATTTTTTCTAGTGCTGTGGCACTGCAATCTTTGGCTGTATCTTGGGCTAATCCAATATTTTTCTTTGTTGGTGTGTGTGTGTTAGCTGGCAGCACTGGCACTTTTGTGTGGTGTTTTTCTGAGGACTATGTCGTGCTAAAGTTTTTGATACTAGATCACTTCTAAAGTATATTTTTTTTGTTTTTATTTTTTACAATATATTTATTTTGTTTGTAAAAAATAAAGAAATAATTTTTAACGATACAATAGCCATGATTATTATTTTAAAAAGTTTATGTTAGGCTTAACATCAACAAAAATTCAATGCAAAGCGACACACAACGTAGAAAATTTTCAACATGGGATAGGTTAATATATTTTTTCGTACATAATCGGTTATCCAAAAAATAAGTTATCCGAACAACCTCAGTCCCCAATTGATTCAGATAAATGATCCTCTACTGTATAAAGTTGGTCAGGATAAGTCATGGAATTAGGGACAAAAATTTGAGGAGTTACCCTGTATTTTTGATTGGCCACAATATTTTTTTAGTGAAGTAATAAAGTAATCAGTTTCTTAGCATGTCTATGAAACCTACAGCTTAACTGTTTGTACAAACTGCATAAAACTTCATTATTATTCTTATGATCATCAGACTCATGCTGTACACTTTACAGTCTGTTACAAAAGTATAGGACACCACATATTTTGTGTTTTTTCAAATTTATTTAAATTTTTGTTTTAAAACATATAAAACTGTTTTCTAAACAATTGCAAAAATATCATTTTCAAGCTTTATTTTTAAACAATACAGTAGAGCGTCGTTTATCCGAAGGTCGGTTATCCGAAGGAATTCCATTCGACAAATTTAAATTTTTGCCAGTGCTGTGGCGCTGTAATCTTTGGCTATGTCTTCAGCTACTCAAATATTTTATGTTTTTGATACTAAATTAACTTCTGAAGTAATTTTTTATTGTTTTTGTATTTTTCAATATATTCATTTTGTACAAAATAAAAAAATAATTTTTAACAATACAATAGTCTTCGTTAGGCTTAACATCGATGAAAATATAATATTTTTGTANTTTCGACAAGTATAAGTGATTCCAAAGGTATTACTGTTAATAAGAGAAATAGAGCTTCCAAGGATGTAAATATGAATGTGAAAGGATGGAAAGTTCTGGAGTATTGTGCGGATAATGATTTAATAATTCTAAATGGACGAGCTTCGGGTGATGAAGCGGGAGAGTTTACCTTTGTTTCTAACCGAGGATCCTCGGTAATTGACTTGGGAATAGTTACTCCTTCTGTGTGGAATTGTATTAAATGCTTTAGAGTAGAGAGTTGTTTTTGGTCTGATCACTGCCCAATTGTACTTTATTTGGAAGATTGTACCACAGATTCTTTGGGTGGTTCTGGTACTTGTTATCAGAGGATTTTCTGGGATATGGATCAGTTGGAATCGTTGTCAGCTGGTTTGAGGTGCTGCTTGGAACAGACCCCTAATTTATCTTTGTTGGAGCTCAGCAAGGTGATATTGGATTTGGCTAAAGTGAAAGGATTGACTCAAAGGAAAAAGACTATGGTTGGAATTGATGATTGGTTTGACTTGGATTGTCGACTAATGATTAGAGCTAGAAACAGAGCTTGGTTAGAGTTTAAAAAAAATGGTTTGGCGGCTCAGAGGAGAGTTTTTGTATTGTACTGGAGCTTGGTAAAGAAATTATGTTTAGCAAAGAAGAAAGAATTTTGTAAAAGGTTACAAAGTTTTAAAAGCTTATATAAAAATAATAGATTATTTTGGAATTTATGTAGAGCAAGAGGAAATTGTGTTAGGGTAAATATTAGTTTACTTGATTGGTTTGGTTATTTTTTCTCCCTTTATGGCTCTGAGAGTCCATATAATTTTGATTTAGTGGTTATTAATGATTGCGTGACTTGGTCGAACGAAATATTGGATTCTTATATTTCGGAGGAGGAATTAAGAATTGTTTTAAGTAAGTCGAGTGTTGGTGGTGCTCCGGGAATAGATGGTATTCTTACTGAATTTTGGAAAATTGATAGTGTTTTCTTTTTATTAGATAATTTTAATAAGGTTTTGAGAACTGGTGTTATTCCAGATGAATGGAAGAGTTCTTTATTGGTTCCAGTGCCTAAGGGTGGCTCAAGATCAGTGCTTACAAATTATAGAGGTATCTCATTGTTATGCTGTGTCTCTAAGATTTTTTGTAGAGTTTTGTATTACCGGTTAATAAGTTGGTTGAGTATGAGAGATATTTTATCAGAGTCAGGCTGGCTTTCGTACAGGCTACTCGACTGTTGATAATATTTTTATCCTGTATACTGTTATTGCTAAGACATTAAACAGGAAACGGCGTAAGGTTTATGCTTTTTTTATAGATTTAGCATCAGCATTTGATTCTGTTGATAGGAATTTATTTTGGAGGAAATTATTAAAGTTTGGTTTAAGTTTTAAGTTTGTATCTTTATTGGCAGAGTTATATAGTGGCTCGAACGTTAAGATTAAATGGAGGAATTGTTGTTCTCAGCCTTTCTTTTCTGATAAGGGTGTTAAACAGGGTTGCATTCTAAGCCCTATTCTTTTTAGTTTATTTTTAAATGATTTTTTGAATTGTATTGATGATTCCGGCAGTGATGGAATAGTTGTTGGCGGTGTTTCTGTTAAGATATTAGCGTAAGCGGATGACGTGGTAATTGTGGCAGATTCTCTGAGGTCTTTGCAAAGGTCGATTGATCTTCTGGATAAATATTTAAAGGATAATAGTTTACAATTAAATCTTACAAAATCCAAGATTGTGGTCTTTCGGAATGGTGGTAAGGCTTCTAAGGCTGATAAATGGTGGTTCCGAGGTGTTCCAATTTTGGTTTTATCACAATATAAGTATTTAGGTGTAATTTTTAAAAGTAATGGCTATTTTAGTACTCACGTGAGGTCCTGTAAAATTAATGCAGAGATAAAAATGGATAAAGTTATGCATATGTGTCAGTCTGCTAAGTTGTGTAATTTGAAAGATCGATTATTTAACGCTGTGGTGGGTTCATCTCTTCTTTATGCTTCCGAGGTGTGGGGATTTCAGGCGGAAAGCTTGGATACAATATTAGTTACTTTTGTTAAGAGAATGTATGGGCTTCCAAGGTGTACTCCTGGTTATTTAGTATCTAGTTCATTGATTCCTTTATCTTGTTTGATCTTGACTAGATGTGTTAATTAGATTTTTAGAACGTTGAGTTTAAATGATGGACGTCAGTAAGATTTGTTTGTGTTTTGCTTTGAAACAAGCTGAG